TCGCTTTTCAGGAAGCTAAACACAATCGAGGAGGGTTACTATCTGCGTAAAGTGCCTTGATTCGCAGAGAAACCGTTTGTTTGCCAAAGATTGTGATCCCTGGGTCAATTCCTTGAATCAACTGGGTGAATTTAGCTGATTTGACTTTTGCGTAAGGTAGCTGGTCTTCAATGATCCAGTTGATAAGATTCGAGTCAAAATTAGACTGTCAAGACTTGAGCATGATCTGTTGGAGGGGTCCTTTGGCTTTAGATGTTGGCGGCATGGACTGAGAAGCGGCCGGACTAGAACTGAGGGGAGTTTCAATGCCATCTTCGGCATTTTCGGAAGCTTCCAGGGCAGCTTTCCATTCACCAGGGTGCTTACAAGCTACGTGGTTCACAAAATTGGTCTTAGTCGTCTTGTTTGCCACTAGCGCATCGCCACAGTCGTCCATCAAGCAAGTACGTTTTCCATTTGAATCGGGTGGAGCGAAAAATGAACTAGCTATCTCTGAATGGCTGACTCCAAGAAATTTACGTCTCTTGAGCGGTATCTCTTGTGAAGATGATGGATTGGATTGCGGACCAGGAGTTCGTTTATCTTTTGGCAATGGATCCTTTTCATTCGCCATGATTCTGCTTTTAAACAAAGCACAGCATTATCTATCAGCCATAGATCCGCAGGGATTAGATAAAATTTGAAACTGCTTACCTTTCAAAGCCCCTAGTGGGCAGGAACCAATATTGCTCAACGGTCGACGGTTGAAGTCAGTGGTGGTGGTCTGATAGTAATGGAAGCCCAGGATATGTGGTATCAGTGGTTCTGGGTTGTGTATATAGTATATACTCCTAATTCCGGGTTGTGCACAGGGACCCTGGGGCCCATAGAGGGCCTAAATATGGTAGGCTGGAAGCTCCTTTGGGGCCACAAAGGCCCCGAATGGCAATCTGAGAGAATATTCGATTCTATTCGAATATTCAAGCTGAAATATGCCACACCATTATTTGACTTGAATCAAATACAAATACGAATAGTCGAATCGAATCGATTTGATGTGGTATGCATTGGTTGTTGGCATCCCTGAATCTTGATCATATCAGTTACACCATATTTGCTAAAAAATTCTATCACAATTTCCCTTAACATTCTCAGAGCGCAGTATCCTACCTTCAAATACATCCAGTCCTAACTCTAGTATTGTCAATTTATCAAACATTTCTCCAACCTCTGTTCTGTCTTCTACTTCCATCAATCAAACTAAAACCCTGTTTGATCTCAACAATGATATTTCAGATATATCTGTCAACTCTACTACTGTCTTGTCACTGTCCCAGCTTAGTGGAAACAACTCTCAAGGTGCTGAAACTGATAGCAGTACTCAAAGTAAGAAGCATAAGCTTAAAAGTAAGGTGTCGATCATCTGAAAGGGTGCTAATCGT